TTTCAAAGTGGGTGGTCAGATAGTTAATAGTTTAATATATTTACTGTAAAGATCTGTTAATCATATGAAGGTCACTCATTTGAATCCTGGTAGATGAGTTCAACTTTTTTTTTTTATCTTTCAGATAACCAAACCTGGTGGGTCAATGTAATACTCTGACTTAAACCAAAGTGTCTGATATCCCACATAGAGTGAAATGAACTAGCTAACCACAACATTACTATACAGTTTTTTTTTTTTTTAAATGAGTGGTGTATATTTGCCAAATAAAAAGCTGATAACTAAATTAAAATGTCAAATTTAAAGGTCATATTTAGGTCAAAATAACAGAACTGACAGATCTAACTCATGAGTTTTAGTCACAATTTCTAGTTATTTTGTTTACATTTGTGAAATGTGGTGGGCAATCCAGCAGGACTCTTTGTTTAGTCAGTACAGGGTACCCCCAATGTGTTCTGGTACTGGAGCTCAGTGATTTAGTACTGGAGCCAATGTATTAATTCTGTGATTCATCTCTCTCTTTCCAAATATCTGACAAAGCACAAGCTATCCTTCATATCTGTCTAACTTTTGACTCATTCAGTAAGTCATCACTATTCATTCGATAATGAATATACCTTTATTTTTAGTGAATAAACCAACCTCAAGTTGGATCAGCAGATAGGTCCATTTAGGCCACCTTCCCTATTAAAGACCTTCTGTTTCGTCCTATATGCAGGCTCCGAAAGAAATATATATACTGTAGTATTGTAATATAGGTAAATATAAAGTTCCTGCCTATATTCAAGAAGGAGTGTAGTCCTAAACTACACACTGTGCTGTATTTGAGCCTTATATGATGGCTCCATCCTTGTGAGTACCATTTCACCCGTTTATACTTTTATTTAAGTATATTACAATACTACAGTGTATATATATTTCTTTCTGAGCCTGCATATAGGACAAAACAGAAGGTCTCTAACCCCTTAAGGACCAAACTTATGGAATAAAAGAGAATCGTGACATGTCACATGTGTCATGTGTCCTTAAGGGGTTAATAGGGAAGGTGGCCTAAACGGACCTATCTACTGATCCAACTTGAGCTAGGTTTATAGCTCAAGAAAATGTGAGTGGTTCCTTATCCATTCTGCACTTTACACTTGGTTTTAAGATTTTACACTATTAGATGCTCATATCTTTTATAGGCACTTTGTCGGTTATACCATAACACCTATCAACCATTATTTTTAAGATATTTGCCTTTATTGTTGTTTTTATACAGCGCTACACCATACTGGCTATTGTATATTTATTGTGTGTATTTGGAGAGACTACACTTGTTTTACAGCTCACTTTTAATAGTTTTTTAGTAGCACATGCACTGTTATAAATATATTGGAAATTAGTGCCATATACTATATCTTGTTTCAACTATAGATAGATAGATAGATAGATAGATAGTGTATATGTAAGATTAAAGATAGGTATTAAATAAAACAAATGTATGTTAAATATAAAATTCGTTTTTGAAAAACTCAATAAACTGAATATGAATGAATGAATAAATCAATTAATAAAATGTACAATCAGTAAAAGTATATAATTTTCTATATTATTAATGAGCCAATAAATAACCAGCGTGTTTGATTTTGCAAGCAGAGAGACAGAAATTGCTGATTCCCATATGATTCTCTCCATTTCCCCATGCATGATACAGGGTATACCGTTCATTGCAAACCCAGCCAGGACCTTTTGAGATCTTGTGCTGCAGAACAGCCGGTTTCAGGTCGATCGTCGTTAATTTCCTTTTGAAACCGACACAATAATTACAGAGCCTTAGGGTACATCTGCAAATAAATGAATAAACACATAAATAAATAAGAATATAGTAAAATAAATAAATAAATAATAATAATAATAAATAATATATATATATATATATTGTCCCTTATCAGATCTTTTTTTATATTTTCCAATTAAAACTGTAAAAGCACCCTCACTGACCCAGATAAGAATAAAATATATTAAAAAAAAACAGACCCCCTAACCAAAGCCACATCACCACCTTTCCCCCTGCTCCCTAGTCTCCCCACATTGGCCATCACTTCTCTCCCATCAGATTCATTGTGATGTATTAGATGCAATAAATTATCCCATGTAACAAAAACATTGGGAGCTGAAAGGCTGATAATCTGCAAAGCGCAGATAAGAATTCATTATTCCAAATCATTATGAATCCACAGTTGCCTGTGACTCCTTCCTTAATCAGCTCCTCTGATCCTGGTTATGTGAGCAGCGCAGATAAGGACACAGTCATTTATAATTCTCAACCTCGCCTAATATTTTAAAATAAAGTCAGAGGCAAGGAAAAATGCCATAAAACACCAGCAAGCAGAAAGGCACCGAATGAAAAATCACTTCCACGTTATTATATCCACTGGAAGATTTAATTAAAAAAAAAATCAAGCCCACGTGTTTTTATTATTTTTCATACACTTTGCATTATGCATAATTGATATAAATGTGAAACGAGGGAGCAGGATCAGACATGTTATTTAATGCTAGAACTGCCAGCTGGATGTTTGACACTTCAATGTCACCAGGAGCTGAGCGCTGGCTGTGGGTGCTGGGAGTCTTCCAACAAGTTAGCCTAAATGCGATTAAAACTCAATGGCATAATGAGCACACACACAGACACACACACACACAGACACACACACACACACACACACAAACAAACACACACACATATGGATATATATATATATATATATATATATATATATATGTACTAACACATTAATATGTGCAATATATTTAGATTTAGCTTGATAAATGTTAAAATTCCCCACAGATTTTAAACAACCTCTGACATTTTCCATTCATGTTTTACTATTGACATGTATATTGTAAAACTGCTTATTTTGCAAAGCAATATAGATTCCTTCAATGTTCTATAGATTATAAAGAAGGAAACAATTAATGAGATTCACAAATACATGAAGAACACATTACCCCATAAAAATGTTCTTTAGAAATTATAATATAAGCAGTGGATCATAAATGAATGAAAAAAACAAAACGATAAGAAAATAAAAATTAAAAAAAATTGAAATCAGGTTTTTATTCGTAGTAGTTTCATCCAATAAACAAAATGAGAACAATCCTATAGTAGATTGTATTCTGGTATTTAGAGCTGATTTAAATTGGGGCTCAGCACAGGACATAACGAAATGTCATGACTCGGTGTGTGTGGGATACTATCTGTATAGTAAGATTGGCTCCGTCTGCCTGTTTACATACAGTCCCCGCCTTTGCAGATATTACAGCTTTCTAAGGGTGATTCGGTAGTGTATGTAATATAGATTCACTACACTGTGTACACATGGATTTCGATTTCATTGATCACTAGCAGGAAAAAACAAAAAACAATGTGCGCTATAATACACTAAAATGAGTGCATGCATGCATGCATGTGTGTATGACACATGATGTGTGTGTGTGTGTATATATATATATATATTGTATATATATATATATATATTGTATATTTATAACATCTGGAACAAATTGAATCAAAATAAAATGAAAATGTGTGTTTGTATGTATGTATATATGTGTGTGTGTGTGTGTGTGTGTACACACACATATATATATATAAATATGCACATTTTAGATATTTTTTATTCAGTTTGTGATAGATAGAAAGAGAAATAGTAGATTTATTTTCATATGTGTGTGTGTGTGTGTGTACACACACATTTATAAATAGGCACAAATTGGATACTATTTATTCAGTTTGTGATAGATAGTAGGAGAAATAGTAGATTTATTTTCTATCTTTTTCTTTTTTTTTTAGTTTTGAACATTCTGAAAGCGGTTCAAACCATAAACTTTTAAGAAGCGGTTTAAATTCTCGAGAAACTGGTTGTGTGTCTGAATCATAGTAGATTGCCGAGTTAGACAGACAGCCCTAGTTCTGCTGTATTACACAGGTATGTTAACAGATAAAATGCCCATTCTGAGCAGTGAGGTCTGAGTGAGTGGCACAATAACTGTGCCAGCCTCTTAGGGTATCCCACTGATTAGCATGCAATAAGTGTGGGCATCACGTGTGTGCCATTGTTTCTTTCAAGGAGAATTCACCCTGGGTATCTTTATATAATCACAATAATCCCTTCAGAATAGCTTCCATTGGCCTCCATTCCACAGACTGGCAGCTGACCCATTGAAGTGCCTGCTGCTCTTCCTGGCATTGCCCTTACCTAAATATTGTTTAGAGTAATTTAGCCAGGGTTTAAATTTCAACGCCTTTACTATCTTGGCATCGAAAAAGTGCTATGTGTCTGGGCTTTTTTAAAGACTTCTTTGCAGCCTAATTAATATCTTTAATTTATTACCCTAATTGAATTTGTTTTCTAAAGATAGAATTGGTGTGATCAGATTACATTGCACTACACAAAGAGACACATTAGAAAGTGAGAGCTCTGCCCCCAACGTCAGCAGAAAGCAGGCGATTAACGTGCTCAGTACTGATCCATTACACTGATTTATTAAACATCGTAAGCCATGGCATCTCGCTCATCTTCCTGTATAGCTCCCTTATGCTGGGGACCTAGAAAGGATCAGGGCAAGTCCATGACCCTAACTGGTACAAAAGTGCATAATGTGCAGGTAACAGTCTCAATGACTAGACATCCCACTCAGGGTAAATGGAAATAATAATAATAATATAATGTGTTTGTTATTATTAGCTTTAGAATGTATATTTTGACGTTTATTGTTATGACTATGTAACCATATTGTGATATGTAAATAGAATTGATCATAGTCAATTTGACATAATTCTCTATTGCACTATATTAGTTAATCTTGACCATAATAATTTTTTATTAACTTTAAAAGTCATATAGTGATAGCACTGTGTGCTGTCTATTGCACCAATACGATCAGCGGTTAAATATTAAGTTATTTAGTGTCTGAAGTGATATGATACAGGAGTAGAATGCTGGTTACACTGTGTACTAATTAGTGTCCACTCCGCAGAGTCTCTCGGTATTCTTGTTCTGAAATGTGTCCAATTCTTCTGATACCTTTGGACACCTGTCAGCTAGCTGAGCCAGAGGAACATGTGTCCTTGTGCCTGAGCAAGTCATGTCTATGGGTTGGGCTAACAACCCACACAGTGTAAACCCCAATAAATGTAATGGAGCCCACGCCAGGATGTGGATTAGTTTGTGGCCATTTGCATGATGATCCCCAGCCTGTGATACAGAGAGAGAGAGCACAGCGTGTCTTTCCATTTGTGAGAATTGTTAGTGTCTCCTCAAGGTGGGGGTGTTGTTATGTTTGTTGGAGGGAGCAGACTAGCAGTTAAATGGAGGCTCTAACTAGCTCATAACCTCTGCTATCCTTTGGGCTTGAACTTGAGAAGCCCTGCTCCAGGGCAATAAATCACCGATCCTGGCTGCTGGCACGGCTCACTGCAAGTTCTGCTTCTCGGAGTCCATATGCTGTATAGACTGGACCGGGACAACCTGCATCAGAACCTTCAGGTACTGCATTGTGCTCTGTACTGATACTGTAACAATGTCCTTCTATAGCACCCAGGCTCTCACTAACACCGTGTGTACCAATCGTATACACCGTATTAACCCCATATTAACCAGCTAGCACCTGCCTGTATTCCCCAAAATAACTCAATACATTTCGGAGCAGATTGAAGCAGGTCTGTCTATCTATCTATCTATCTATCTGTCTGTCTGTCTGTCTGTCATATTAAATACGCTATGATGTTATGTGGAAATTATATATATATATAACATTATTTAGATTTTGTTTCATGAATGTTTGCAAATAATTTCGATACGCCTAGATGCATGTTTTATGTATCGATATGCTTTGGGGGACACAAAGGAATGCTTTTGCCAAATAAGAAAGTGACATGAGTGGGGTGAAGAATGGGCCCGGTCTGACATTTCTAAAATGCTCGATACCATAGCAACATTCAACCAGCGATAACATAATGGTTTCATTTCTGATACATTCATAATTCCTTTAGAATCCCCGAAGAATGGTCTGTGTTAAAAGGTTTGTATACGTGTGTGTGTGTGTGCGTGTATCTATATATAAAACATATAATTACCATTTAACTATATATATATTTTTAGTTTTTTTTTTTAATTCATTTATTTGAATTTAGTTTAATTTTAACTAAACCCTGTTATTTTATTCAAGATAGGCGACTTTATAATTTCAATATTTTATAATTTCAATAGATAAGGATATATTTTCAATATAGCCTTATTTTGTGTAATGCATAAAAAAATAATTTAATGCGGGTAAATATCCCCCAAATATACGTGTAAGTGTGAATCTTCGGCCATTTCTCTAGAAATGAATCTCCATCCACCTCCATTCACTTACATCTTTCCAGCCACCTCTGGTAGTATTTTAAGTGCCCCCATCGGGGCTTTATACAGGGTGTAATTTGACAGATTCTGCATGGGAGACAGCATTGCCCCTCTTCCAAGCGGGGAGAGCTGAGCTCCTGTCCTCCAATAGAGGGTCAGATCTCCGGCTAGCTAGGAGGAGGTCGATTCCCCAGAATTGTATTCCTCATGCTAGCTTTAAATGCCATAACCAATCTGTCTGTCATTTCTGCCTCAGATCTTCCAGAGATCAGAGAAGGAACTGAAAAAAACCCCAATCCAAACAAACCCACCAAGCAGCTGCCAAAGCCTGTGCAGGTCAGTGAGTATAGCATTCAGCCTCTCACTGTGTGTTTTCTGCAGCCTTCCCTTCCACGTGGAGAGAATTAGAATAGGCTCTATACCTTAAAGGGATAGCATGTGTCTAGCGTAACCCAAAACTGCACTCTTATTGTTCTCAAGTCAGTTTAGTCATTTTTAAAGTTTTTTTTTGTGTGTGTGTGCCTTTTTTTGGCATTGACCTGGCAATGGCTTTGCAATGAGCTCTGATTTCTACAGCTCCAGAAAGAGGACAAGAGGGAGGGGTCATCTCTCACCCAGGGTTCAATCTGGATATATAACATATAATTACCATTTAACTGTGACATCTCCAGGTGTCCTGTCCACCTATAGTGAGGTCACAGAGCCAATCGAATAATATTAACACTGTATAGCGAGACCACATAACTCACAGAATGTTATGAATAATATTAATAATAATAATAATATTAACACATTATATTAGGGGGTTCTACATAGTCATATAAATACAAAGCTCGTCGAATAATATTGTATAGAGCTTTGCATTGTACATTACAGTGGAAATACTTCTCTTGGGTGGGTCAGGTCTTTAATATTATAATTTCACTGGCTTAGGGGCATTGCATGTCGTGTTAAAAAAAAAATTCAAACATCACAAGTCCCTTTAGACAAAACCAAATCGCCAGGATCGGTCTATGCATGGTGTTTGGATTCAATTTGCTCTGATGTAGAGCTGTTAAGTGGGAAAATAGAAAATGCTCTGCACAATTATAATGGTATCCTTTAAAATGGGTGAAGCGAGGAAGCAGAATATTAGATTTGGGGAGAGCAAGGGAGGGTGATCTGGGCTATGTCCAGCTCTATGAATGAGATGCTGTGTGCTCTCAACCTGAATTATATCCTCACTGTTAGTTTAGTCAATTGCCACTTCATTATGTAATGTAGTGCCAGGCTGTTAGAAGTCTTCCCCATAGCCTAGATACAAATTATAATACTGAACTATAAAATGCACACCTTCACAGGCTGAAAATAGGTTTTATTTTTATATTAATAATAACACATGCTTAAAGGACTCCTTTTTACGATATAAATAACTAGAAAGGCGTGGGGCAATCTTTTATTTTCCTAGACAATTTTATTTAATTTTTTTTTTGTATTGTTTAATATACATGAGGAATTTATGCTAAGATACATTTAATATAAAATTAGAAAGAGGTCTCTGTGAGACAAATACCATGTAACAATGCAGGGATATATATTGATGTATATACATAGATATGAACTTTATTGTACTTAATTAGATACATAGATTGAATATCGTAAAATAATAATGCATGCATTTTCTTTCAAATAAACTTGAGAAATGTAATATTTCTAGCAATGGCGTTTGTGGTTTTTTTTTTGTCCAAATAAAATAATAGCAATATTAGAATAATTGGATTTCGTTATATTGAATAATGTAGTATTAGTGTGATGTTACGAATAAAAATAAAATAAGCAATATTTTTGTTTATTACAATAATCTATCTATCTATCTATCTATTTATCTATCTATCGATATTTTACATGCCACTCGATGCTATACATAAGAAAATAATTTAAAATTCACGTGAAAATGAAACATAAGAACAATAAGCACCTTCCGGTGTATTATAGCTTATTATGCCACTTGTCATGATATACAGATAAAATATGCTGACCATGCCATGTTATTCCGTTTAATGCTAAAAACAAAAGTGCCACTCATACAAAAAATCTGCTTTGCTGTAATTTTCGTGTTGTTTTTATTAATGTATATTTTGAATTATTTTCCATCCTTTCCCGTGACATATCGCGACAAGGGATCTATGTGGTGTAAACCACATCTCATGAAATGCAGTCAGTGCGTGGGTCTGGCTGCACTTTGCATGCTGTCTGCTGGCTCCCTTCGCTGGAATAGATTTTATTATCTTTCTGGTTTAATCTGTGAAGCATCAGTTCCCAATGACAGGGATTCTTAGAAAGATAACCTTAATCATTATGAGAAACAGTGCTATGGCTGAGTACCACAAGCAAGGTGCACGCATGGCATCGATTGGGCAGAGAAAGTGCTTTGTATAGACTGCTAGTTAGCGATAATAATATAATAGTAGTAGTATATCTATATATATACACACATATATACTATACTATAACCACAGCGTAAACTTGGGACACAGAGTAGCTCAGATGTGTCCAGATAAATGTCCATTCAGATTTACACGTGTACATATAGATGTGACCTTATAGATGTACAGATATGTGTATATAGATTTACAGATGTACCTTGGTTCATATAAAGTATAAACGACTACACAAAATATAAAATGTGTGTAAATGCGCTGTACGTTGATAGATGTACAGATATGTTTAATTTAGTTATATATCTATATATACTTTATATACATACATACGCAAACGTAAATATGGTACTACTTTTTCCAATAAAGTATAAATCTATAATATTATATATATATATATATATATAAATATATATATATATATATACTTCATATTTGTTTTTTTATACGTGTGCAGCCAAAGTACGCATATATTAATATATAATTATAATTCGGTGGGAAAAGCAAATCTGGTGAGCAGATTTTTGTTTAACATTGTTTTAACTAATTATAATGAATATATTTATATATGTAGAGATATAGGTGCTAATGAGTATATGTGTATGGATGTCCAGGTGTGCACATAATGTACACTGATGTGTACGGTTTGCATATTAGTGTGCTCAGTGCAGAGAGATGGACAGGATTGGGTATCTATGATCCGTCACAGCAGATTATAGAAATATAAAACTAGCAGGATTTCTGACAGACGGCTGGGAGAATACAAAGGGAGGGGGGGTGATTTTTTTTCTGTTCCCAAAACCAAACTCAGTTAACCAAATACACAAAGGCCATTATTTCTTGTAGACATGCCTCTCTCGTAAGCCTCTCCCATTAATTCGATTCCTATTTTTCTTTTAGGCAATTTAAATATCGTTAATACCTCACTGGCAATTAAACCGTTAACAGTGTATTTCTGGGTATTTTTCCAGCATAAACAGATCTCAGGAACAGAAATGACTCAAACTGGCTGAGTGACTGTCAATCACAATACGAGCAATCCATTGCTATTTTTCAGCTGGGAAAACCATTAGAGAGATGACCCCCCCGCCCCCCCAAATTGGTCTGTGATCCACATACCCCCATGCCGACACCTGCAACCTAATGCAGAGCATTTCGCAGAGCATTTTGCAGAGCCCGTTGCAGAGTTCAGTGCAGAGCATTTTGCACAGCTTAGTACAGAGCCTGTTGTAGAGTCTAGTGCATTTAGCAGAGCTTAGTGCAGAGCACGTAGTGCAGTGGCTGACACAAGCCTAGTGCAGAGCGTAATGCTCTCCCTCTGTCCGGCTCTAGATAGAGGCATGCGATAGTTAAGGGTTTTGGATGTTAAATGTTTACATTGAAGTGGAGAAATGTGTCAGTTGAACTGTTCTCAATGGCCTCTGGAGACAT